TATATAAAACGGTTAGTTTTTATTGGAAAGTAGTTAATGTAGGTGAAGAGTGAAGATCTATGTCTGAAGTGCTATTGCAGCTTTTCACTGAACATATTAACTTTTTATTTGATTTAACTTTAGAAGAAAACATCGTCGACTCCATCATGAAAAAAATTTTTACTTTTTTAACGTGTTTTATTATTTTAATAAACAATTTGACAATTTGCGTGCACAGTTCCAATGTAAATTGTTCCCTCATTCGAGTTATAAATTTTGCCACCAGATGGTATATCCCCATTTGACGGATCCCAATAGTAGAGGTTATTTAAACCATGGTGTTTTTGCAAGTTCTTTCCATAATATAGGATCTGACTAATTAAACACGTAGATAAGGAAAAAATATTTATGAACGTTTTTATTTTTGGCCAAATCGCATTGCAATTTTCATCTTAATAAATCTTATCAGTGCGCCATATGCAGTTTCGATAAATTACTAGCCAATCTGAGGAAGAGTCTAAAGATTAATAAAATCAAAATCACGATCCGAGTCTTGAAGTCTCGATAAATTTTTGACTAATATCATAAACGTTCTTATATTGTAAGTGCTAAGACTAATGAATCATTAGTCAAAAAAAAGCCCTGATAACCTTATGTTTTTATTGTAAATTGAGTTCAACTTTGCGTTGTTACAACTACGATTCATATTAGCGTGTCACAATAATTGTTTTTTTTTTAGAATGAAGCGTCTTTCCGAGTACTTCTAAAATATGTTTTAAAAATTAAAATTAATCTTAATAATAATAATAATAACTAATATTAATATTAGCAAAGTTATAGCATGTATCTAAGCATATATGTTGCTAGATCTTTAAACAATTCTCTAGGCTTCCCAAATCAATAGATTGTAATTTGAAAAAATGGGTTCGAAAATTTAGGTGTCTCTCTGCTTGTCAAAAAATGCTTTTGTTTGGCATCAGCAACAATTTGAAAATTTATAATTTTTTTTCACACAGCATAAATTGTAAAATTATTTATTACGTAAAACACACAGTGAAACTAATATGTTTCCTCATGACTTTTGGATGTAATTCCAACAAAAATCTGGTATACTACCCTTTTCATCCAATCCAAGATTGTTACCGCCTAAACTATATTCAGTAGGTAGTAATTTCTCTAAAATATATTTCAAAACACTGAAAACTACTCAAGTTAATGTATTTTGCACTAAAATCATTCATTACGTTACCAGACACCTGCTACACAATATATTTACCTTTTCATCGAGTTGAAAAGCGCATCGAAATTGAAGTAGATCAGGTATTTGCTTCAAAGACAGACGGCATTGCTTGCAATCCATTGAGCCTTCAATAAAGGTATCCATTTCATTTTTATTAGGTACCTACATGGGATTTTCATTANATAGACTGGAACACCGCTATGAGAAATGTATCAGCCTTGGAGGAGATTATGTTGAGAAATAAAAAAAAAAAATTTTTAAAAACCTTGTTTTTCTTGGTCAGGCCGGAAACTTATCAATCCACCCTCGTAAACTACTGTAGTTTTTATCGGACAGGTAGTATGTTTTCAAGCTTATTCATAACAAACCAAAGTTTTTATTAGAGTCATTTAACACAGAGCCGGGCAAACTCGGATCTTTTGCATCCCGAGTGATCCTCAAGGTTAACCAAGTGGATCCTCATTGATCCTGCGAATGCGAGTGAGATGATTCTTTCCTTTTCTTATCCCTTCCATTTCGTAGATGAGTCCCCTCTTCCATAGCCAAACCCAATAGTTTTGCGAACGTAGTAACGAAAATTTTCGTAGGTATTTTTTAAGTCGCGTGAGTGGCTTCGCTCGTCTACGGGATGAAGGGGCTTGATATGGGAGTGGAAGGGAGAAGAAAAAGACAAAACAAAATTATTCATTACTGCTTACTCTCTCGTACTCTATTGAAGGGTATGGAGTGACTCAAACTAACCCCATGTAGCGGCTCCTGCGAAGTTAAAGTTTGCCCGGCTCTGATTTAACAGACGAGTATTTTAATGTTGTAGAAACTATCAGCGAGTAGTTTTAAAAACAAATAGGTAGCTATATTTCGATTTGTTTGTAATTATTTAATTGTTGAAGCCCTGGGTTTCGAAGCAGGGATTAATTACCCCTGCAGGAGTGAAATAGATTAGTGATACAAAGGAAAATTTTATAACAGGAACAGAAGCGGAAACAGAAGTAAATAGTAAATTTTTGCGGAAGCGGATGCGGATGCGGAAGCAGAAGTGTAATGATTTTAGATTACTTTTTAATGCAGTGGTTATGGGCCGTTTTGGCAAATATTTTGTTACAGATTTGGGACTTGCATCGTTAATCTCAACAAAGTAATTCCAAATACGATGTCTTGTTGCCTTCAAAATTGCACTTTTAACTTAAAGCTGAACAAACACTGTAGAAAATAAATGAGCGCTATAACTGTGTTAGTATTTTCGAAATGAAGTTATTAGGAGGGTTGTTAAGAAAGGTGGGGCTGGAAGTCCGGGTGGCTTTTAGATTAAAGTAGGGAACCAATAAGAGAATAAAATTTGGAAAATATCAACATACGAAGTAGGATTTAGGTCCTACTTTGTAGTAAAGTTATTTGCAGATCAGGGACAATAATGTTATTATTTCATCATCATAACGTCGTCAGTCTTAAGACTGGTTGGACACGTACCTCCACTCTTATCCTGAGCTAAACTTCGCATTTCCCTAAAACTAGAATAACCCACATCCTTAACTAATCTAATCTAGGTCTACTTCTCTTAACTCCTGCTCCTGTCTCTAATATGTCTCTGACTAGACCTTCATGCCTAAGATGGTGTCCTGTAGTACTTACCTATCTCGACTATTTCTTATTAACTTCCATAGAGTTCTCTGTTCTCCTATTCTTTCTAATACTTCTTCATTTCTAACCTTCTCTGTCCATGGTATCCTCATCATTCGCCTGTAACACCACGCCCACCGTCCATGTTACCCACCCGAACAGCACCGCGCCCCAAACATACATTACATAGTACATGAAATTTCTCTTTTTGATGTGCAACACCTTTTGACACGTATAAGGGGTAAAACAGATTCAGGCGTGACAGGACATTACTCCCTTCTTGCACGGAACGACATTTCGTTCATTCAGCCAGATTCGTGACTCATCGGCTCGTTCCGCCCGGCTGCCAAAACTTTTCAATTTTACTTCCTTCAACAAAAATCAATTTCAATGTTACACATCTGCCTGGCTTCCGTTGACAGCTAATTTTCTTTTTTTTTTTATTTCAGGTGTTTCATCTCTAAAGGACATTCGCATTAGTGTACCTGTGGCAGTTCAAAGAGGCGAAAGGGCAATTCTGCAGTGTCAATATGACCTCGAAGGGGATCCACTGTATACCGTCAAGTGGTACAAAAGCGAAAGAGAATTTTTTCGGTACGCGCCTAAAGAGAAACCTCCCTACAAGTACTTTAAGTTGCCGGAACACAAACTCGTTGAAAAATATTGCAATGCCACTCAAATAGTTTTTGACAACGTTTCGATGGCCGTTGCTGGTCTCTACAGTTGTGAGATATCCTTAGATGAGCCTTCGTTCTTTACCGATGTCAGATCGGGAGTGCTGAAGGTAAGGATATTTTAAGATTTGATATTGGGATCCGTCAAATGAAAGGAGCCTAAAAACATGGCACCGATTAGGGAAAATTTATCGTAGTTCCTATAGTGTCCCGTGCAATTTCCAAGTTTTTAAATTACGATAAAATGATAAGTATTGACACAATATGTGATTGGNAACATTTGCCTAACTGTGGAATATTATTGCCCCAAAATTTGCCTAACTCTAGGATATTATTGCCCTAAAATTTGCCTATGGAATATTATTGCCCCAACATTTGCCTAACGGTGGGATATTATTGCCCTAACATTTGCCTAACTATGGAATATTATTGCCCCAAATTTGCCTAATTGATCTAAGGAAACCACAGAAAAAATTGGACCAAGGCAGATGGATCCGGAATCGAACCGGCGTCCTCCCGAATGCTAAACAATGAACTAAACCTCTAGGCCTTGCCGCCCGGTGCCGGTACTGATTTTTTTTGTTTTCGTGGAAGAGGGGAAATCTTCAAAAGACGTCCAGCCTTCGTACGACCAGATAGTGTTGGATGCCTGAGGAACGTGAGCTACGTCACTTCGGTAGGTGTTCCCCCTATGAAAAACGGCTGAGTCTAACGCAGGTAGAGGCGAAATGTCCGGAGATAATCCCAATGGTCCATCAAACCTTGACATGTATTAAAAACCAACCGTGAAAGCCTACATTCAGCAAACTGATGAACGAAGTTATGTTCGAAATAATTCGAAAGTAATTTAAAAAAACATATTAGATATGTCATTAATATTAATGCAATAAATTAACAAAATTCGTTCTAATTGTATTAAATTGTGGGTCGTGTTCTACTTAAAGTAAACGAGGGAATGTCAAATTTGAAGGTAGATTAAAAAGACAAGGGTTCCATTGTGTTCGTTTCGTTTCTAATTAGTTAACACAATTAAAACAAATAAGTTAAACAAAAGGTCCGCCTAATGACATTACTTTAAGTACTGTTTCCTAAGAACAACTACAAGACTTTATTCGAGCCATTGAGCTTGCTTTACGTTTACTGAACTAAGAAACGGCATGCCGAGCTCCGTCTGCAGATTAAATGAAACATGTTTAAGCAAAGAGAGGTTCTAAATAAAATGCAAATACAAATCAGAGGAGTAAATAAACATGCTTCAAGAAAACCATCTTACATAATTGGAGTTATTATTAAATCAGATGACTTCTATTGTTATAATATTATAACTGCTATATTAATTTACTTTCTTATCTGTATTAACATCTAAATTAATTTGTTAAATATAAAATATATCCCTAAAAACTTTTCAGGGCAGGCTTTTGTGGCTATTTTTGTTTCCGTGCTGTGTCCGCTGTAGCTAATTTGTACCTTTCCAGACCTACTTTGACCATTCACATGTGTTAAACTGCTCATTCTGACGTTAGTTTTGCCTGGTAGGGCTCATTAACCCCACGTGGAGTAATACAAGGATGTGTCCAGAAGGACCAAGTTGGTTATTTTGTTTTCATTAAATGTAAAAAGCTAAATATTGATACACATCGTATAATTACACTGCTGGAAGTGACTGGAATAAATACACATAATGTTGCAGTTTCTAACAAGTTGTTCAGTTCGCTTTGGATTTTTGTGGAATTTACTTGTTTGTTAGTGTTAGTTTATTTATTTAGTGGTCATTTCATAAAAGACTATTACAATAAGGACAATTACTAGTGTGATAGTGCATTCTAGTAGGGTTCTTATTCAACCGTCAGTTGGTGGTGGGTATGAAAGGTACTCTTTTCTTTTTCACTTTTACCTTTTTTTTACAAGGTGGAAGTGCATTCGGTTTTTTCCCGGTAGGTACTTGTTATATTCACACTAGATCAGGTGAGTGACGTTAGTCGCCTAGATCCAGGCCCGTAATGAAACAAATTGTATCTTCAAATTTACAAAGACGATTTGCGAGCTCAATTGTCACTGGATTGAAAAATTGTATAACACTTTTTTGTTGTATTAGCAAAGTTATAGCATGTATCTAAGCATATATGTTGCTAGATCTTTAAACAATTCTCTAGGCTTCCCAAATCAATAGATTGTAATTTGAAAAAATGGGTTCGAAAATTTAGGTGTCTCTCTGCTTGTCAAAAAATGCTTTTGTTTGGCATCAGCAACAATTTGAAAATTTATAATTTTTTTTCACACAGCATAAATTGTAAAATTATTTATTACGTAAAACACACAGTGAAACTAATATGTTTCCTCATGACTTTTGGATGTAATTCCAACAAAAATCTGGTATACTACCCTTTTCATCCAATCCAAGATTGTTACCGCCTAAACTATATTCAGTAGGTAGTAATTTCTCTAAAATATATTTCAAAACACTGAAAACTACTCAAGTTAATGTATTTTGCACTAAAATCATTCATTACGTTACCAGACACCTGCTACACAATATATTTACCTTTTCATCGAGTTGAAAAGCGCATCGAAATTGAAGTAGATCAGGTATTTGCTTCAAAGACAGACGGCATTGCTTGCAATCCATTGAGCCTTCAATAAAGGTATCCATTTCATTTTTATTAGGTACCTACATGGGATTTTCATTAGTTCCATTACGTTCCTGGCATTCTTAAGGAGTTTACCCTCTTAAAGAATTCATTCGGATCGTGTTGTTCCAAATTTTCAACAGTACTCACTTAAATAGGCCATTCGATTCGTTGTAAAGTTTGATACATCACTCAACGATCTGAACAATACTGTAGCTTACTTTTTATACTTTTATTTACATAATTTACAATTTTAACATTCAAAACTTAAGTATATATACAAAAACACCTAGTAACATAAAAAAATATCGACCAAGAGTAAAAATATATAATTATAGCAACTTAAAACTAACTATAAAAAGTGTTCACAAATACAAACACAAAAAAAAGTCTAGGAGTGAAACAGTAAAGCGGGACTTATACTGACACGGCGGCTAGGCGGAAATGCCTTCCAGTTTTCATAGCTAGACACTGGGCTCTACTATAGGGTAGTAAGGTTGGTTGTTGGCTTACTCCCTCTTTTATGCCTGGGTAGGTAAAATGTCCGAGTGTGTCGGTACTGCAACATAAAATACTTTTAGGTGTTTCATTCCTATTTAGGAATCGTGGGAATGTGGTTCGAATGAGAAAGATGAGAAAGAATGAAAGATTATCTGTTGAATATTATTACCCCAACATTTGCCTAACTGTGGAATATTATTGCCCCCANGTTTTTTCCCGGTAGGTACTTGTTATATTCACACTAGATCAGGTGAGTGACGTTAGTCGCCTAGATCCAGGCCCGTAATGAAACAAATTGTATCTTCAAATTTACAAAGACGATTTGCGAGCTCAATTGTCACTGGATTGAAAAATTGTATAACACTTTTTTGTTGTATTTTGTGTCAGGAAGCCATGGTCTTTTTTTTTAATTATTATAAATGGGACACCCTATGTAGCGGGCCAACTCTCGAAGGTACCACGACACCTATCTGCTCCGGTAAGTACATTTCCGCCTGCGTCAGGGAGGTTTGACCATTTAAACATCGACGTAGTCATCATTTCGTCGTCGAAAGGATGCAGCTACTACCTCACAGTGGTTGATAGTTACTCCAGGTGGCCCGAAGTAGTCGCTATCCCTGACCAGGAAGCAGCAACCGTCGCTCGCGCCTTCCACGGCAATTGAACCGTCAGGTTTGGTACTCACATCCGACCAAGGCAGGCAATTCAAGTCGTACGTTTTTAAGCAGTTAAATCATTTATTAGGTACGACTCATCTTCGCACTACGGCTTACCATTCCTCAGTCAACGGCATGGTAGAACGACTCCACAGACAGCCATAATGTATCATCAAAGCAATTCGTAGACACCAACTCTGCCGAAAAAAGACCTATAAGCTATCAAAGCAGAGATATTGTACGGAGACACGTTACGACTTCCTGGCAAATTTTTCGGATCACATGCCGATTTTAATACCCACGGGAACGCCTCCGAATTCGACAAGGAACTCCGTACAACACAACAACAATTACGACCGACTTATGGGGATAAAAAAACCTTTATATTCAAAAACCTTAGTACGAGAGATCAGGTTTTTATTCGCCGCGGTGACCGAAGGAAATACTACAATAACTTTCTACGAACCGGCCTACCTTTTTTCAGAACTACCGGCCACTTCATGAAACGAAGATATATTATTAAAGACATTAAATAGTACTACTCAACCAAATTTCAGCTTCACTAAAATTTTTTCAAGGTATAAACTTAAAATTCCTGAGCGACTGGGCCATTCTCTGTTTTATATCCTTAGCTCTTTCTCCATGCTAAGTTATCTGACTCCCTAAATATATAAAATGAGCGACTTCTTCTAATTTATTGTCTCCTTTGTTATATTAGTCCTAACCCTACTTTTACACCTCTTACATATCAAAATTTTTTATTAATTTTCATACCGTACTCTATCAATATCACTTCCATTTTACTGAAAGCTAACTCTAATTAGTATTTGCTAGCTGCTAATATCCACGTCTAACTTCTTATTTCCTAATAGCTATTTACTTCTCTACGATGTTGGCTAGGCTAGCGTGTTATGTTTTAGGTATAACGCCTATTGATGATATTGTTATTGGAATAATTCGAACTGTGTTCTGATTACACATTTCTTTTGTTTCATCGGTTAAAGAAACATATTTTTTAAGTTTCAGAATGTTTCTGTTTAAGATTTTCAGTGATTTTACATTTCTTTTGGTCTTTATCTTATCGAGGTTCTACTGTACAAGAGTAGTTACTATGAAAGCTTAATTGTAAAATACAGTGTAAACTCTATATAACGACACTTAAGGGACTGAACATTTTTCGGCGTTATAAAGAGTGGTCGTTAAATGGAGAGAAATATAAGATATTATTTTACTATTCTATAATAGTACGCATTTACCAATGTAGTACACATTTTGCACACGAACATTATTATTCATACATTGCGTATAGCCTATTACCTTCGTCTG